AATAACTTTTTGGTGGTCATGAATTTCTTTAGGTTTTTTATCATGGAAATATCTTCTCCATCAATTTTGAAAGATAGTTTTGTGGGGTACGTCAGTCTGGATTTGGGGTTGTTTTCTTTTAGCACTTGAAATACTTCACTCCAAGGTCATCTTGACTAAGGGGCTTGAGTTGAGAAGCCTTGTATGATTCTGATGGGTTTTCCTTCATATGTGATTTGTTTCTTTTCCCTTACAGTTTTTAATATTCTCTTCTTATATTGAATTTCTGGAATATTGACTGTTACATGTGTAGGTGTAGCTTTTTCTGATCATGACTATTTGGAGTTCTATATGACTCACTTATCTGCATCTTACATTCATTTTCATTCTTGCAAAGTTTTTTGCTATTAACTTCTGTGAACAAGTTTTTTTTTAATGCCCTTTGTGCTATCTTCTGATTCTTTATTGATTTCAGTTAATCTTGTATTAGCCTTCTTTGCATCATCTAGCTGCTGTTGGATTGATTGTTTTTGTGGTTCCTTGCTATTTTTAAGAGGTCTTTCATTTGATGATTGCCAACCAGAAGCCTGTCACCTAGATCTAATGCTCAGTCTTCATATTGGTTGACTGCTGAGTATACTTTAAGTAGAATTTTTAATCTCCTAAATTCTGTTTGAGTCTGTTTTATGGAATCTAGTTCTTTTCTTTGGCATTCATGGTTTCCATGTCTTTCCTATAATCCTTTATTTATTTATTTTTATTTGTATATACTGTAGATTCACTAATCATTCACTTCATCATGGTTGTCATCTCTTTAATTATCTCTGTTTTAGTTTTGTCAAGAGACTTATTAATCTGTTTTGCTACTTCTGCTGCAACCACTTCATAAAATTCACCAGGGATGCTTTGTATTCTTCCAGCTCGATGCCCCCTTAATTTGCCTTGGGTGAGTTGGGGGTTATGGGATGTATCGTGCTTCTGTGTTTTCTCATTTTCTATTTTTTTGTTTGTTTTCTGTGTGTTGATGCTTGTAAATTGCTTTTCGTGGGTAGCTGTATTACTAGTATCAAGACCTCTTTAGGAAATGATTAATTTTCTGATATTTCTTCTAGGTGTACCTGGGTTTTGGCTTTAGAGTCTCCTAATTTATTAAGTATGAAGGGTTGCTGTCTGGTTGGCCTAATATCAAGGTCTTTGGTACTGGGGTATAGTATTGCTTATGACCCCTAGGCAATTTGGGTATTGGCATATAAGCAAGATCAGTTGATCCAATAACTGTGTCTCTTTGGCTAAAGTTGTACAGTCAGTAATAACAATAGTATCAAGCACAGACTACGAAATGGCAAACTGATAAATATTAATTTGCCAGCCTTAACCATGGGTACAAGATTTATATTTACACACTAAGATCTAAATTGGGCTTGGTAGCACATGCCTATAATCCCTGCACTAGAGAGACTGAGGCAGAAGAATTGTTGTGAGTTCAAAGCCAGCCTGAATTACATAGTGAAACCCTTCTTAAAACAAATAAACAAGGACCGGGGATTTAGCTTAGTGGTTCCACCGCCTGCCTCGCAAGCACAAGGACCTGTGTTCAATCCCCCACACCAAAAAACAAACAAACACAAACACACAAACAAAAAGAAATAACAACAACAACAAAAATAAGATCTAAGGCAAATCAGACAGTTATATACCATAAATATCCATTCAGTAAAGTGATTTTTAACAGTAAGGAGTGAGGATTTTAAAAGGAATAAGAGAAAAAATAGGTACATAAGAGAAAGATTAGAAGCAAGTTTGAAGGAGAAAGGAAGATTACTCAAGCATCAGAAAACTTGTGAAGAAGAAAAGAGGGAAAGAAGGAAATAACAAGAACAAAACAAAGTAAAACTAAACTAAAAACATGTTCACACTCATGGGAAACAACAACAACAACAACAAAATAAAAAAGAAGCCCAAACGAACAACTCAACAAACCAAAAGCAGATTGAAGAGGAAAAAAAAGAAAAGAAAAAAAGAAAAGATATTCATGATTTCAACCCTGTAGTTATCTTCTGGGGTCTCCAATTTTGTGGCAGTTTCTGATTCAGTGGGTAACTCTGCTCTTGCTGGTCTGCTGTTGTTGGTAGACAGAAGGCAGTCAGAGCCCAGATTTGTGCTGGGTAATCCCTACAACCTGCAGTAGAATTAGGACGAAGTATTGGATAATCCCAGCAAGCCTGCAATAGGATTAGGATGGGGTGCTGATTCTGATGCTTTCAACTCCACAGAAGTTCAGACTGATCCTGGACTGTGTTGTGGTATTGGGTCTTGAGTCATTCTGACTACAATACTCTTGAGTGTCTCTTGACAGTCTGATGACAGCTCCCTCACTCTGGATGTCTCCGACAGTTGTACCTCACTCAGTCACTGTGGGATTTCAACCCTGCGAGCCTTGAGATGAAGCCAACACATGGCTGCTCTGAATCTCCGGTTTAGTTTGCCTCTCCCTAAACTGGTATCCAACCAGGTACCTTCTGCAAGGGTATAGTAGTTGTCTGAACTTGAGCTAGTCATCAGCTGTTGTAGCACTTAGCATCCACTGCTCTGTTCTACTGGTGCATTTCTCCCTGAAGGCCTCTGGGGTTACCAGCCCTCATCGTGTCTCTGTAGATTAAATCCTTTCTAATGCCATGAGCCTGGAGCTGGACTGAAAGTGCAGATTGCCCCGTCTTTTTTTTCTGTGTGATGGTCTGTCTCTTTACTTTCTCTATGGGCTCTGGTTTTCTCTTCAGATGCTTCCTGGGCCCCAGAGATCCACCTCCCTCCTTTTCTTTCCCAAGTTTTTATTTTTCAGTGTCTGGATTTTGAACCTTAGGGAGGTTGATTTGTTGAGATATTGATCTGCCATCTTCGCAGAAGTCTAATTTAGATATTTTTCTAGAAATTGCAGTAATTTTCACTGTGTTGGGAAAAGGGCAGAGGATATAAAAAGGGTGAGACATGGTTTCTGCTTTCAAGGAAATGTGGTCTAATTGAAGAAACACACATACAGTTATTTACATGATGATAAAATGCACATTGGAAATATTTACAAAATGGGTGTATATGTATGTGGGAGTGAGAACCTATAAGTGTCTGAGTTATCAGGGAAGGGTTCACAGACCAGACAGTCCACAGTGTAAGATTTGAGGCAAACATTTACTTAGTGACCATACAGGAGGAAGACCTAATGCCAATAGACATAACATACAGATATTTAAAATTTTAGGAACTACACACAGTGATAGCTTGTTATATACTTAAAATTGCTTTGATTCAAAGTTCAGGAATGATGTGATTTTGGACAAGCATGGTGGCTCAGGTTTATAATCTCAGCACTTGGGAGGCTGAGGCAGGAGGATTGATGAGTTTCAGGCTAGCCTGAGTTACATAGTGAGGTCAAGAACAGGTCTCCAGGGCTGGGGATTTAGCTCAGTGGTTCCACCGACTGCCTTGCAAGTGCAAAGTCCCGAGTATGATCCCCAGTACAAAAAAAAGAAAAAAAGAATGATTTGGTTTAAAATAATATTCCCTATCACCCATTTTCAAATATTAATGATTTCGGCATGTTTGAAGTATTTTTACAATTATTTAATTATTTAAAAATTTTTTACAATTCTTTTTCTTGAAAAGAATTTTGTTCACTTTTCAGAATTTCTCTTTTTTAAAAATTATAAATTCATGTTTAACCAGGTATTTCTTTTGAGTTCTTGTACTGGCAAAATTTGGCAACAATTGATTAGGCAGATGTGAAAAATCCAACATAAATATTTAACAATTAAATTAATATATTATCTTTTTATACATTTGGTTGGGCAAATTATAAGTAATAAACCAGACCCCCCCAAAATAAACCAAAGTATAAATGAATAAAGGAGCAATGTAAATGCCATATACTGTATAATCTTCTTAACCAGAGACAACTGCTACTAATTCTGTAATGTGTGTCATTCCCTATTCTATATCTATGTCTATCTATCTATCTATCTTTATATAGATATAGACATTTATAGATATAGATATAGACATATATAGGTAGCGACATTTAAACAAAACATAGATACATCTAAACAAAAGGTTATTACACCTACTATTTTATAACTTATCACAATTTAATTTAGTTCTCTTTTCCATTTTGGGATGTTTGCAATATCTTTTAACAGTTTCCATTTGTTGGTCATTTCAGTTGGCTTAGTGTTTTGTTTTACATGTCAGAGTCTGTAAATAAAGTAGGCCTTAAAATTATCTCATTTTATTGTGTATTTGATGTTTTCTTTTTGTGTTTGTTTTGAGACAGGGTCTTGCTATTTAGTTGAGGCTGGCCTTGAATTCATGCTCATCATGTTCAGTATCTTTTGTGATTTTGTTTGGCTAAATTCATCCCCCCTAAGAGAATGATTATCAACTTTTGAGAAAACTACTTCGTATGATCTCTGGAGTTTCTTCCTTAAAATTTCAGAATATAAGCCACTTTTATATAAGTGGTGCACACTTGTAATCCCAGCATTCTGGGAGGCTGAGTCAGGAGAATCACAAATTTGAGCTCCACCTGGGCAAATTAGAGACTAGCAAGAACCTATCTCAAAGAAAAAAAAAATAGGGTGGGAAATGTAACTCAGTGTGAAGACCCTGGGCTCCGTCTCCAGTACTAGGGGAAAAACACTCAGAATACAGTTTTAAAAAATATATTAAGTGGGCCAGGGATTTAGTTCAGTGGTTCCACTGCCTGCCTTGAAAGCCCAAAGTACTGAGTTTGATCCCCAGCACACACACACACAAAAAAATCTATATTAAGTAAAATCTTAACTGGTTTTTATAATGAGCAGATTACATTACACAGGGTTCTTAAATGTTCCTAAAACTTATTTTTTAGAGTGAAACATTTTCTTGATTTATGGACAGAAGAGCTTTGAACACTTTATGTACATTTTATTTGTAGTGTAACAAATTTTAAAGTTTGAATAGTAACTCATTTTTTTTTTGCTTTTTTTCTTTAGTTCACAACAAAGTATGTTAAAATCCCATTTCAAGGTAAGCTGTCATTCTCTTATGACTTTTTCTCTTTATTGTTATTTGAATTATAAAATATTTGACTAGCAAAATTCTGAAATCCTTTTAAAATTAGTTTTCCATATTTTTTTCAGCAGAGAATATAAATTAATCTGAGGTATTTTAGTGTGTTTCACCTTAATATCTTTTAGCAGCTCCAAAAGGGAGTTACTAAAAATAGACTTTTATTATTTTAATGACTCTAAGTAAAACTGTATTAAAGTACTTGAGATGATATCTTGAGATTAACAGAAATAAATTTGAAAAGATAAAATATTTTTCATGCATAAAATGGATGAAAAATAGGAATTATAAAGAAAGAAGGAAACAAAATACGTTGGTATATTTTTGTATTATACCTTTTCTTATGTGAATAAATAGACTGGAAAATGTACCTACACTTTTAAAAGACTCAGATCATTTTCTCATTCTGTCCTTTAAAAAAAGACTTTTTAGGATAATGACAAAAATAATGTCTTTAGAGAATGAATAATAAAATGAATGAGGAAAAATATTCCTACAAATAGCACTTCAGTTATAAACTAGGGAAGTAGCTTTTGTTCCAAGAGTAAAGATGTGATAAAAATTTTTAATTGGATTTCCCAGATACCCATTTGCAGAATCCAAAACTCTTAGGAAAATAATCTAGTAATTAGGTTACCATGTAAGAACACGTAAAACAAAAAGTAATTTATTGGTAGTTCTTATTAAGAAAGGCTAATAAGTTATTAAGGAACAGTACAACTGACTTTTTAGAGGAAACAAAGACATGTGACTTTAAAGGAAAGTAAGTTGAGAAAAGGTAAGTTTCATAAAAGATACTGCAGCAGTCTCTAAAAGTCTTGAGTAATAGAGAGCTGCTTCTCAAAATATTATGATACAAATTTTTAAAATATTTTAGTTTTTCAATTAATATTTTTATTTTATTTTAAATATTGTTTTCTTATTTTATAATTTTCCTATCCCATATAGCTTTTAAAAGACAGCTTTAATTACAAATTGTAGGAAATTCTCTTTTCAGTGATAGTAGACTTGCAATTTTATACCAGAACAGGAAAATATTAATTATCTTTCCCAAATGCTCTCTGTGCTATTTTTCTACATAGATTTATTTATCGCATGTATTCTCTTTAATTGAAGCATTTCTCAATGAATTTTAAGTACATAAAATGCACTAATTTTAAATGTTTTAAAATAAATATCTGTCAGTTTACAATAGTGAAACTACCACCCACAGCAGTACATGTAAAATCATACATTTGAACACCACAGAAAGTCTCTTAAATGTGAAATGTCTTGTAATATCTTATTTCTGCCTAGTAAAAATGTTACTCTTTATTTATATGAACTAAAGATGTTTTTGTTGCCTTTAAAACATTTTAACCTTTGTTTTATACAAATGTGAGTATCTTGGATCAGAGGCTGATTTTTTTTTTTTATTCAGTTTGGTTCTTATTAATTGGGAATTTAACTAGCTTATGAGTATATTCACTTGTAGCTCTGTCTATATCTTTTATGCAAAATTTACTGCTTCCTTTGTATTCTTTTGCTGCTTTTTCTTGGTTTTTCACTTCTTTTCAGTTTCAGGAACTTGGAATTTAGATATTCTACTTTTGTCCACAACTCAATGACAAATTGACTTATATAAACTACCATCTGAGGCAGTAATTGCTGGTTCTCAAAATTCATTATTTCAAACATATCTATTCCTCTGCAACCAGTAATTTGGAAATTTCCTTCTTACATTACAGTATTAACATTATGAACTTGCTCTTCTTTTTAAAGGAAATTAAAACGGTACCATTTTTCACTTTTGTCAGATTAACATTTAGAATGTCTTGTTCTGTCCATAGTGACAAAATATTTTCATCTATGATACATTTTGCTTAACAACATGCACCTTTATAATGTTATATGACAAAAAACTGTATTTACTTGTACATTCTGTATTTGGCAGGCACTTTGAAACTACATAAAATGAAAACTTTAGACCTAGCTTAAGATCTATTTTGCATTTAGGTTTATTACTCTATATGTAGCAATTTTAGACTACTTAACTAGCTTTAATGATTACCATCAAATTGTCTCCCTACTGTTTTTATTATTCTGTTGCCTACAGTAAATCATTCAACAAAATTTTCAGAGAAGGTTCTTTTATTGTTTTTGTTTTCTGGTACCAGGGATCAAACTCAGGAACCTTGCACTTGTGAGGTAGGCACTGTGCCACTGAGCTAAATCCCTTGGTCAATGTATTTTATATTATTTTTTTTATGGTGAAAAAATATGTATTTAGAATTAGCCAGGTGGACTCAGTTTAGATAATCCCAATTTTGTTGGTGATATCCAAAGCATAATAATCAGGAGCTAGTTGAACATACACCTTCTCTCCATCAGGCCTAATTAGGTTATTAACCTTGGCCACATCAATGTCATAGACGTTTTCCACAGCTTGTTTGATCTGGTGCTTGTTGGCCTTGAAATCCACAATGAACACAAGTGTGTTGTTCTCTATCTTACTCATGGCTGACCGTAGTCAGAGGGAGCTTGATATGACATAGTGGTCAAGCTTGTTTCTCCTGAGGGCGCACTTCTGAGGGTATTTGGGCCGGTGGAAAGTAGGTGACATGCAGATTTTCTCTTTTTGTGGCTGTGGATGCCTTTCAGCACTGTTTTCTTGGCTTTCAAAGCTTTTACTTTGGCTTCACTTTTGGGAGGGGCAGGAGCTTTCTTTGCATTTAGTGCCATCTTAGTAAAAAGGGTCTACTGGTCCATATATTTTATTAACCCCTTGTTACCTGAGAATGTCTTCTGGTTGCCTTAATATAGAAATACTAACTTGGCAGGGTATATAATTCTTGGTTCAAAATTATTTTCCCTTAAAACTCTATAGATGCTCGTCCATTGTCTTCTGGCACTTAGAATTGCCATGGAAATGAATCTGAGAACACTCTGACATTTTTTTTCTTTTTATTGAGTTTATTGGTACGATCTAGGTATACAGTACAGTTGCATTCATCATTGGGATTCTGTACCTTTACATAATAGATCTTGATTCTCATTTTTTCCCCTTGTCCCTGCCCTGCCTTCACCCCCTCCTCCCCTCCCCATTTACAAACACTTTATTTCCATTTTTTCAGTTTCTCATATTTTTTTCCTCTCCCTTATTACCTTTCCCCTACCCTTCCCACTTTCCCTACACCTTTAGCCCTTTACTTTCTATTTCACATTATTGATTATCTCATTAGGATCCTGTGTACTATTATAGTTTTTCACACCAAAGCAACTATTCGGTATTTCAGTTAAAGAAATCTCTGTATGAACATTACAATAGGGAATCCTAAAATAAAACTAAAAAGGAAAGTAAAAGAGAAAAGGCAATGATGTAGGATTTAAAATTTCATTATTGAGAATACTTTATTAGTTTCTGTAATCAAACCCACGTAGATATGACCTTACATATTTAGTACGATGTGTTACCCCTGTACACATGGAAAAAAAAAGATAAAAAAATTAACATTTCTAGACCAATATGGCTGTCCATTTCTGTACAATTCCAACTCAATACAGTAAATTGGGAGGACTTTTTCCAAAGTTGGCAGCACCGGTAAAGTTTGCCAAAATTCAGTTTATATATAAATGTATATATATTTATATTTACATAAAAAAACTAATAATAACAGTATGTTATGCATTGATAGCAGCAACAACTTTTCCAGGTTCTGCAGTCATCTGAACAAAATTATAGACATTCAGCACATTCCATTAAAAAAAGCAAAACAAAACAAAACAAAAAACAAAGAAAAGAATAATATCCAGAAAACAGCAAAGTTCTGTTGCTGTTGTGGTACCTGGCACCATTTTTTATTTATTAGCATCTTAATCATCATCTGGAAAGAGAACATTCTAGAGTAATATCATTAAATGTAGCTCTGATAAAGCACGGTCCCTACTATGTATCATAAAGCAGGTACAAGATATTTTATATTCATGAAAGGTATGATACAGTACCGTCCTACATCAATAATACTAGAATCAGTTTTGGTTTGAAATTTACTTTGTGTGCAAATAAGATTGCTACCCCTGTTTTTTTCTGGGCTCCTGTCACATGGAGAATTGTTTTCTATCTTTTCACTTTCAGTCTGTGTGTTTCTTTTTGCACTAGGTGTGTTTCTTGTATACAACATATTATTGGATTTTGCTTCTTATTCCATTTTGCCTGTCTGTTTCTCTTGATTGGAGAGTTGAGGCCATTGACATTGCTGGTAATAACTGATATGTACTGTCTTATTATTGACATATTGTTGGCCTTTTGTCGACTCTTTTTACTTTTTCACCCTCTCCTTTTAGTTTCTTGCCTTGACTATTTGATTTGCTCTGTTGGGCCTCATGGTGTTGTTGCCTTCATTGACTTTTTCTAGGATCTTGTTTAGAATTGCTTGTAGTGCTGGTTTGGTATTCATGTAGTTTCTCAGGTGTTCTTTGTCATGGACATTTCTTATTTCCCCATCCATTTTGAATGAGAATTTTGCAGGACACATCAGTCTAGGTTGGAGGTTGTTCTCTTTTAGTACTTGAAATATCTCATACCAGGCTCTCTTTGCCCCAAAAGTTTGTGTTGAAAAGTCGGCTTTGATTCTGATGGGCTTTCCTTTGTATGTGATTTGTTTCTTTTCTCTTACTCCTTATAGTATTTTGTTCTTCTCTTGGGTTTCTGGGATCTTGATTATTATATGTCTAGGTGTAGATTTTTTTTGATTGTAGCTAGTTGGGGTTCTATATGCCTCATTTATCTGAATGTCAAATTCTTCCCCTCTGGGAAGTTTTCTGTTATTCATTTTGCAAATAGCTTTATTTTCTCCTGCTACTTCATGGGTTCCTATTAGTCTTATGTTATTCTTCTTTGCATCATCTAGGAGTTGTTGGATCGATTTCTCATGATCCCTTACTGTTTTTAAGAGATCTCTCTTTTCATGGTCACTGACTGCAATCTTATCTTCTATATCTGAGAGTCTATCTTTGCATTCTTTTATTCTGTTGCGTACAATTTCTATGGAGTGTTTAATCTCCTGGATATCTGTTTGAATCTGTTTTATGGATTCCATTTCTTTCCTATGTTGGGCATTTATTTTTTCCATTTCCTTCTTATGCTGGGCCTTCATGGCTTCTATCGTGGTCCTGAGCTCATCTATTTTTTTGTCAGTGTCTGTTGTAGAATCTCAAATCATGACTTCCATTTTGCTATCTCTATGGTTATCTGGGAAATTATTTCTGTTTTGAATTTTTCTAGAGCCTGATTGATCTGTTCTGTTACTTCCTGTGCTTTGAGTTCAGGGTGCCCTGGTTGTTCACTATCGACCTTTTCATCCTCATTTGCCCTACTGTTTGCCATTGGTAAACTGGAAGTCTGTCCTTGTGTCTTGCTTACATGTTTTCTCATTTTTATTTTTGTTGTCGGACTGTCCTTGATTTAATCTCTGGTTATCACCCAAATCTTCCTGATATAGTTTGCCCTAGCTTCTGTGTCTCTAACGACCCACAGACATTCTCATCTTCATAATGAGAGAAAACAGCTCATCCAATCAACTGCAATGCTTTATCCCAACTGATACAATCAACAACACATTAAGATCAAGCACAATTTGGACACTGACCACCTGTGGTAGTCACTAATCTGTCACCCTTAAACCATTTGAATTAAATTGAAATCAAGAAGCAGTCCAGAACATGTCTGCAGTGAACAAAATTTCAATATAGTGTATTTACCATTTAATGGCTCAGACAGAGTGAGGATGCAAGACCCCTGTCTCAGTTAGCTGATGGCTGAACCCCATGATGCTGACTGACCTCGGGCTGCAAGGCCCAGATTGAGTTCCCCAACCTTCTGAATGGTTGAACTCCACACTGTTCTACTACAGGTTTCCCACACCCTTTCTTTAAAGATGTTCAAAGTTGGGAACTCAGAAAAATACCCTTGATGACCACCTCTGCCTCTGCAGAGTGGGTCCAAAGACTTGCACAGTCAAGAGATCTGAGAGTGCGTGGGGGTGAGGGGGATGGCTTATTGGGTTCAGGGGGCGCGGCTGGGGCGGGAGAAGGCTGGCTCTCCTTCCCGCAGTGGATCAGTGCCCAGGCTACCTTCCAGGAGCTTGAGCGATGGTGGCTGGGGCGGGAGAAGGCTGGCTCTAACACTCTGACTTTTGCCAAAGGTCACTTTCTCCATCTGGATGCTTGCAAAATTTTGTCTCTATCCTTGAAATTTATAGAAGCCATCATGATATCTCTAGGTGTTGTTTTCTCTTCATTAAATTTTAAAGTAACCCTCTGAGCCTTCTTTATTTTTTGGGCTACATTGTTTAGCTCTGGAAAGATTTTTTTTTTCAGTTTCTTAATTATTGTTTGAGCTTCATTTGCCTTGTCCTCTGTTTTAGGTATTTTGTTCCACATAGATTATATCTCCTGGACAGGCCCTGTGTTACTCTTTCTTGTATCTTAATTTTTTTTTTTTTTTTTTTTTTTCTTTTATTTTTTATTTTTGTTTTTTTTTTTTTTTTTTTGCCTTTTCCTCTGTTCTGTGAGGATTTCTCTTGTTTTACATCTACTTCAGCAATCTTATTTTGTGGCAGGCCTTGCTTACAGGTTGGGACATATTTTTTTTCTCATTCTTTATATTTTGTCTTCACTCTGTCTGTGGTATTCTTTGCTGTGCAGAAATTTTTTGATATGACTCCATTTCCACATTCATAACATTTCTTATGCCGTGGAGTTCTGTTCAGAAAGTTCTTGCCCCTATGCCTGTCTTTTTAAGAGTTCTACCTAGTTATCTTACAGCAGGTTTTCTCTGTTTTTACATTTAGATAAAAGAGAAAGGTCTAGGTTCAATCATCTTTTTGTGGATAGCACATATTTACAGCATCATTTGTTAAACAGGTTGTCTTCTCTCCAGAATATGCTTTTGACCCCTATGTTAAAGATCATATGGCTGAATATACTTAAGGTTGTTTCTACATCCTCTCTTCTGTTCCACAGATTCATATATCTGTTTTTGTCACTGTAACTTTATAGTATAACTTGACACCCAGTATTGTGATACCTCTTGGTTTGCTCTTGTTACTTAGTATGACTTTTGCTATTCTGGGTCTCTTCTGGTTCCCTTTGAATTTTAGGATTTTTCTCTATTTCTGTGAGAAATGGTTTTGATATTTGATGGCATTAAATCTGTATGTCAGTTTCTGAAGTATCTCTTTCCCTCTTCCTCTTTTTCTCTCTCCCTCTCCCTCTCTCTCTCCCCCTACCTTTCTTCCCTCCTTCCCTTCATGGAATGCTTCATGAATTTGTGTGTTCTTCTTGCACTGGTGCCATACTAATCTTCTTGGTATCATTTCAATTTTAGTATATGTGCTACTGAAGTGAGCACTCTTTCCCATTTAATGTGATGTTTGTAGTATGTTTGTCATGAACTTTTATCATATTGTGATAAGGTATTTCTATACCTATTTTCATCAGGACAACATAATGTCCCCGAAAGAATGGGCAGTGGATTTTCTCAAAGGCTTTTTTCTTCTGTCTCTGGGGTTGGTCTTGTCATTTTTGTCCTTGTTTCTTTTTGTGTGGTGTGTTGCATTTATTGATCTGTGTATATTGAACCATTTCTGCATCCTTCACATAAATCCTACTTGGTCATGAAGTATGATCTTTTTGATGATTGTTGCATTCTCTTTCGCAGTATCTTAATGAGCATTTTGTGTCTATGTTCATTAAATAGGTTTGCCTATACTTCTCTTCTATGGTTTTGGGATCAGAGTAGTTAACATTTTCTGGTTTTGGAATCAGAATAATGCTAGCTTCTAGGAATGAGTTTGGCAGTACACTATTTTTTAAAATTTCATTAAAGAGTTTGAAGAGTATCAGTGTGAGATCCTCCCTGAAGTTATTGTAAAATTTGGCAGTGAATCCATCAGGTCCTGGACTTTTCTTAGTGTTTTGTTGTTTTTTTTTTTCCACTGTTTCAGTTTCTTTGCCAGTGATTAGAATTTTCAGGGTTTTTAAGTCTTCTGCATTCAATTTTTTTTTTTTTGAGACAGGGTCTCACTATGTAGTTGAGATTGACCTGGAACTCACTATGTAGCCCAGGCTGCTCTTGCACTCACAATGATCCTACTGTCTCAGCCTCTCGAGTGCTCGGATTACAGGTGTGTGCCACCACGCTGTGCCCTGCATTCAATTTTGACAACATATATATCTAGTAATCTATCCATTTTGTCTCTGATTTCTGCATTTTATTCGTGTACAGGTTTATAAAGTAGTTGCTCATAACCGTCTGCATTTTAGCAGTGACTTGTGATTTCATATTCTTCACTTTTTTTCTTTCTTACTTTTTTTTTTTCTTTGTTTGTTTGAGACAGGATCTCACCATGTAGTTGAGATTGACCCGGTACTCACAATGTAGCCCAGGTTGGTCTCCATCTCATAGCGATCCTCCTGCCTCAGCCTCCCAAGTGCTGGGATTACAGGCGTGCACCACGCCCCATATTCTTCATTTCTAATTGCATTGATTTGCACCTTTTCTTTCCTTTTTTGGGTAAGGTTGGCTAAAAGTTTGTCTTATGTATTCTTTCAAAGAAGCAGCTCTTCAATTTATTCTTTTTTTTTTAATGGTGATACGTTGGTACACAAATTTAATTTGTTCCATGATTCTGAGGAAGGTGGCTGTGGTTGTGTTGGTCACCTGACGTGGAGTGTGTGAGTGTGGAAGCAAAATTTTGCCAAGCACTTCTGTTTGTGAACTGAATTATTCACGAGCAGAACAGAAATGTTTGTGAACCGAGGTATTGCTGTATTATCTTTTAGTCTCAGTTTCATGCCCTGATCTTTATAGTATCCTTTCTCTGTACTAACTTTGGATTTGGATTGTTCTTGTTTTTCTTGAAACTTGAGATGCATGTAGGTTAATTATTTTGGCTTGCCCTATCTTTCTGATGTGAGCATTAAGAGATATAAACTTCTCTCCTGAGACTGCTTTCATTGTGTATTCTAAGTCTGATATGTTGTACTGAGATATTCCTCATTTAATGACCAAGTTCTGTTCATGTAATTGGGTTGTAAATGAATTGGTCGGTAAATAAGGAATTGTATGTAGTATGTAATTACAATATTCAGTACAAAGAAATGGTTAAAAAAGCTTCAACTTGGTTGACTTTGCTTTTATTTGCATAACTTTTACATGCAGTACTGTAACTGTAAAACAATGTAAAACTACAGTACTCTATGGTATAATACATCAGCAGAATTACAGTACTGTGTAAATGAGGTCTACTGTAGAAAAAAAAACATTGAAGCTTTATAAACAAGATGTATAGAACTATAAAAAAAAAAGATGGATCATAAGTCCAAGTGGCAGGTTGTAAGTCTGAACAGTGCACCTTAGTCATTAGGTCTTTAAATGAGGAATATCTGTATTATTTGATTCTAGGAACTAATTTCTTTTTTTATCTTATTGAATTTATTGGTACTTTTTAAGTATACAGTACAGTTACTTTCATCATTGTGATCTTGTACCCTTAAATGATGTATCTTGGTTCTCATTTTTCTCCCCATTCCCCTGCCCTCCTCTCACTCCCCCATTTACGAAGACTTTGTTTCCATTTTTCCTTTTCTCATATTTTTTCTTGTCCCTTATTTCCTATACCTTACTCTTACCACTTCCCTTACACCTTTAGCCCTTTTCTTCCTATTTCACATTATCAGTTATACAATTTGTAAATAGTTATACAGTTTACACTTTTAGTTTTTCACACAAGAGAAGCTATTCTGTGTTTACACATGTGTCTTGTTTATTTCACTTAAGAGTATGACCTTAATATGCATCCATCTTCCTATGAATGACTCTAAGTTCTCATTCTTTATTGCTGAGTAAGTATTCCATTTTATAGAAAAACCGCATCTTCTTTATCCAGTCTCCAACTGATGGGCAATTGGGCTGTTTCCAAGTATTAGCTATTACAAACTGTGTCGCTGTAAACATGTTGCTTGTATATCATTGTGGTATGATTCTTTTAATTCTTTTAATACCCATCAGAGGGATAGCTGGGTCAAATGGAACCTCTAATCTAGGAACTAATTTCTTCTGTGACCCTTTGATGACTGAAGAGTGTGTTCTTTAATTTGCATTCATTTGCATAATTTCTGTGATTGCTTTTGCCATCAATTTCTGATTTTGTTCCAGTATGATCTGATAATATAAATAATTTCAATTCTTCTGCCTTTAAACGTGCTTTATGTGCTAGCATGTTGCTTATTTTTTTTTAGCATTGGAAAACTATCAATTATTGATACATTTTAAGGTGTAATAACAGGTTCTCAAAAATGTGATAGTAATAATATCAGCATAAAAAAGAGAAATTGTTGTAAAAACAAATTCATCATTGGAGATATTACATAACAATCAAGGTCCTCAGATACTAATAACGATTTTCACTTTGTTTATATTGCCAGCCTCTCATGCATCAAAAACCACAAAACCAGGATTATCAAACTTGGGAAGCAATAAAGTACTCCATGAATTTTAAGATCATATTAGGAAAGTTTGGGAGATTTGCAAAATATATCATAATCATCCATGTGTACAATCTCATTTCTAGTTCTCTTTGCATAATCATTAGTGAATAAAGAACAGATTTACAAATTTATACAGCAGGGCATTTGCGTTCAGCACAAAATGGTTACAAGTTTTAGGTAAATATGTGTTTTTTATACAGCATGTGGCCTATTTTGAGAGTCTTGTGTGCTACTGAGAAGGATGTATAGTCTATTATTATGTGGAACATTCTGTAGATGTCTGTTAAGTCCATATGTTTAAAGGTATGGTTCAACTCTATTTCTTTGTTGATTTTTTTTTTTGTGTGTGTAGTAGATCTATTCTGTAACAGTGATGTATTAAAGTCTCCTGCTGTAATTGTGTTGATGTTTAGGTGATCTTTTATGTCCAGTGATGTTTGTTTTATAAAGTTTGTACCATTGTTATAAAGATTGTACCATTGTTTGGTGCTTATATGTTAATAATTGTTATCTCTTCCTGCTGACTTATACTCTTAACCAATATGAACTGACCTTCTTTGCCAATTCTTACTAGTTTTGGCGTGAAGTGCATTTTGTTTGAATACAAGATAGTTAACTCTGCTTTTTTTCTATCCTTTGATTTTTTTTTTTTTAGCCTGTGAATATCTTTTTGGATTAAGTGTGATTGTTGTATACAGCATATTGTTGGGTTTTGTCATTTGATCCTTTAGCCTATCTTTTGATTCGGGAATTGAGACCATTGACACTGAGAATTATTACTGAAATGTCTTGATTTATTTCAGTCATTGTATAGTTTTCCTGCGGCTGATTTCCATTTTTTACCTTAGCTTAACTGCTCACTCTACCTCATGTCTTTGTTCATTCTGTAGACTTTTTGGCATTGTTGGTTTTATTGTCTCATTCTAGGATATTCTTGACAATTTTTTGGAGTGCTTGTTTGATAGTCATGAATTTCTTACTGTGCTTTGTGTCATACCTTATTTCTCCAATTCTGAAAGGCAGTTTTTCAGGATTTTATTAGTCCGAGTTAGAAGTTGTTTTCTTTTAGGGACTGAAATCTCTCCAAGCTCTCCTAGCCTTTAAAGTTTGTGTTGAGAAATTTGTAATTCGAATGAGTTTAGAAGTGATTTGTTGCTTTTAAGTGATTTGTTGCTTTTTTCTAACAGCTTTTTCTTTTGTTTGTTTTTTGTTTTTTGAGACAGGGTCTCACTATGTAGTTGAGACTAGTACTCACTATGTAGCTCAGGCTGGTCTCAAACTTACAGCGATCCTCCTGCCTCAGCCTCCTGAGTGCTGGGATTACAGGTGTGCGCCACCATGCCCGGCACTCTTAACAGCTTTTAAGATTCTATCAGCGATCCTCCCCTCAGCCTCCTGAGTGCTGGGATTACAGGTGTGCGCCACCATGCCCGGCACTCTTAACAGCTTTTAAGATTCTATCCTGGGTTAAACTTCTGAGATTTTAACTATGATGTGTTGTGAAGAAATTGTTTTTTCTGGTTGTGGCTATTTGGTTTCTATATGCCTTGCTTGTCTGTATGTTTAATTATTTTACCTTATTTGGAAAATTTTCAGCTATTATTTAATTTAACAGATTTTTTATGGCATTCAAGTTATCTTCTGTTCCATTTAATTTTAGATTAGTGTTTGTGTTATTTAGCAGTCATAGGATAAATTTTTCATATTTTCTTGTTGTTTTCAAGGTATCTCTGAATAATTGGTCACCAAAGTCAGCCCTGTCTTCTGGTTTTGACACTCTGTTCTCATATTGGTCACTTGTGGTGCCCCTACTTTCAAATTTTAGTTTTCTCGATTTCTGTTGGAAGCTTTTTATAGAGTCAGATTCTTTGCTAAATTAGTCATTTGTTTTTTGTTTGTTTGTTTGTGTTTTTTTTTTTTCTCGTCCGGTACCTGGGATTGAACTCTGGTCCTTGCACTTGTGAGGCAGGCACCCAAACCACTAGGCTAATTCCCTGGCCCCTAGTCATTCATGTTTTATACCATTTTGTTTAACTCATCTTTTTTTTATTACTGTCTTCTGTAAACTCACTGATTGTTTTATTAATTATATGACCTGTTTATATCTTATTTGAGCTTGACAATCATGTTATTGATCTATTTTTTAAGCTCCTCCTTTTTTATTTTGAATAATTCAGCTGTATGGCTTTTGTTTTCTTCCCCCTCAGTGCCCCATGCATAAGCTTTGGGAGAATTGGGAGATTTTGGAGGCAATTTGTTACCTTGTCTTCTCATGTTTTTATTGTTTTATGCTGAAGTTTGCAGACTGATTACAGTGGAAGCCTTTTTAGCTAGAAGGGAGACATTTTTACTTAGTGTCTGTTTTTCAGTGATGCATTCTTGCTGTGGCTGTCTGTAAGCCTCTGTCTCTGTTACAAATTTTAATCGCCTCCATTTATTTGGGAATTTGTTCTTGAGTTTATGGCAGTCCTACTGCCTCAGCTTCTCAGTGCTGGAATTGGAGATGTAAATCACCATGTCTACCGCAGGCCGTATTTTGATACTCATCTCTAGTCATCAACCTTGAAGAATTTTAAAAGAAATATATTAGACCATTTAAAAATTTCATATTAGTCTTGAGAATCTTTTCATAATGGCTTGTCCATGTAGTGGAATGCAGATATTTTAGAAGAAATCTGGACAGAAATCGGTCCATTAATTTATAGTATTGATCAACATAGGAAAGATAAAAATATAACAATTTAAAAATTATTCTATGTTTAGTTTTCTGCACAGATAACATTTTTTTCTCTTTTTGCTAATGACATCAGAGTTTTCAGGGAGAAGTCTCTTCTGCCTAATTTTTTTAATGCTATGAAAAATTAGGCTTACATTTTCCTTTTCTTGATATAACTGAAATCATGTAGTGTGAGCCTAAATCTGTCTATTTAATAATAAAAAACATTTAATAATTATTTAGCCCTACTTAGTTTGTAGTACGTTTTTACTGTAATAGTACTGTAGGGCATTTTGCAAAGTTTAATAAAGTATGTTGGATATATATTTCTGAAAACCTTTGCACATAATTCTTTTGGAAAATTACAATGTATTCAAAGTATCATATGGTACATAAGTGCTGTTTTCTTAAATAGATTAATTTTTAAACTGTTTTATTTGTTGCAGTGTCCCTGAATGAGGTTTCATTGCTAGTGGATACCACATATTTAAAGAGGTTTGGGTTATGGAAAAGTAAGGATGATGATCACAGTAAAAGGAGTCATGCTATTCTTTTCCTCTGGGTCTCTTCAAATTATCTTCAAGAGATTCAGACCCAATTAGAAAACTCTATTTTAAGCCAGCAATGTGAGTATAAAATAATTTCTAAATTTCAGGAGAAAATTGATAATTTCTAAAATTTAATAGAATGTAATTATTTCATTGAATTGAATTAATTTCATTTATTCAAAAATAATTTTATCATTAACATATGTAAGATATTTTTATTCACCTGATAATTTTATTCAATCAAATGAATAATTTTCTAGAATAAAGAATTTATTTAAAGAATATGTTTAAAAATCTTAAATATTGTTTACCTACAAAACAAAGTTTTTGTGTTCTTAAATTTTTCATTAGTCAGGTTTTATCCTTAGCTGCCGTTTTTATGTATGTCTTGCCATTGCTTCATGACATGCAATATTTTATTAGTGGTAAAGTTAAATATAAATTTCTTTACTTGTACCATATTGTTTAGTTTCTAAAAAAAATAAAATTCAACATATGTAGATATCGTGCTTCAAAGACTGAGTTGAGTGCTTTTCTGTTTGTACCCATGACACTTATCTGCATATGTGCATCTTGAGATATTTCCCACCTTGTTCAGTTTCTAATTCCTAATGGAATCTGGTTTAGAATTAGGTATAAGAAATTAGTAAGGTTCTTTCTTATTTCTTTGATCTCTTTATCTTTACTCCCCCACTTTCTTGCACATTAAAGATATTTGCTAGTGAGCTAGTGAGATGTTTTGTACCTTTATAATTCCTTATTTCCTTGTCTTAATTACTTCTAATGGGAGAATGCATGATTAAGTAGAAAGAAGTTGGGAGAAATATAAAGAGCTATTTATAATCATGGGGGAAGATAGTATCTTTTGAGAGCACTGTTGAAATAATTGATAAAGTTGAAGACGATGTTTAATTGTAATACTTACTGATAGATTTAATCACTGGAGGAGGCTAGAAAAAATAAGTAATGTTAATTATCATTCATTCACTTATACATTCATTAACAAATGCTTACTAGCATTTACTGAATGATAGGCACTGGGGATACAGTAGGCAGTACCATTGTGGAATTTCCATTTTAGTGCAGTAGAGTAGGAATCTAAAAATTACAAGTTGGGTGGCGGGTTACTAGTGGCCTATTTTGAGGTTTTAATTTGCCAGGATATTACCTAACATACAAAATACTTTGTTGGGTTTTATATTAACCTTACTGTTATTCATAGTTAAATTAATTATAATCCCTTTGAAAAATTATACTAGTGGTAAAAATTGATTTATTTTTTTTTCTTTTATAGCAAAATCCAGTGAATTCATTTTCCTTGAGCTAAACAATCCCATTTCACAAAGGGATGAATTGAGATTGAAAGATATTATGTTGGAAATAAGTACAACCAATGGAGAATTAGAACTTTCTTATCCATTGTCTTGGGTTCAGGCATTTCCTTTGTTTCAGAATCTTTCTTCAAAAGAAAGTTCTTTTATTCATTATTACTGTGCTTCAGCTTGTTCTTTCCCTGCTGCTACTGAAGAAATGAAGATGCATTCAGTATCTCAGGTTAGCATATGATTAATATGATTGGCAGGGGTAGAAGGGTAAAAATTCTTTTACTGGTATTAAGCTGATTTAAAAATGTTATGTTTTATCAAAAGGGCATGGGAGCCAACCTGAAAAAAACTCTCCATTCGGAGCTGGATATTTTATTCAACAAAATCAATAATGGTAGTATGGAATTGTCACCAAAAATATAATGACTATCCTTGACTCTATACTGATACAAATAGATATCATAGTTAACAAGTGATAAATGGTACATAGGGACAATTTTTCTTACAAAGAATCTAGTTAATAAATGAAGAAGCACTAAGGAAAATATAAAACTACCACTAAAACTATATTTATGATTATTGAAAGCAAGATCCCCCACAATAGCCAGGGGGTGCTAAGTGGATGCTAAATTTAATGGATGAAAATTTAAAAAGAAATATGATATATGCTTAATCTCAAATTCCCTGACCCCCAATTTTTGGGGGGTCACCTGGGATTGATCTCCATACCTTGCAGTTTCAACACAAGTGGTGGAACCAACTCAGCTAAATCCCCAGCCCATTTCCCAAAATATTTATTAATTTCGAAAAAGAAAAGTATTAACTTTATAGTGGAGAAACCTTACACATTACCTTAACAAAATGAACAAAGTTAACTCCATATTGAGATGCCTCTCATATCATCTACTGAGAAGGGTGCATTCATCTCTGTGGTATTCTTCCCAATGATGTGTAACCCCAACCCAATCATAAGGAAAATGAGACAATCTAGTTATAAAATGACTGACTGATACTCTTCTGAAGTATCAAGGTTTTGAAATACTAGAAATGACTAAGGAATTGTAAGATTCCCATATAGAAAAAATATATTTGTGGGAAACTAGTAGGATCAAAATAAATTCTATAGTACAGTTTATATTATTATACCAGTGTTAATTTGTTAGTTTTGACAATTATACTGTGGTTACATGTGATGTTATTATTAGAAGAATCTGGGTGAACTTTTTTTTTTCAACATTCTGTAAGTCTAAAATTATTTTGAAGCAATAGTTTAAAAATGCCATTTTTATTTTTATGGAAGATTGGTAATATATGTATAGCTTATATCTTTGAGAAATACTTCAGTTTTTTTTTTTTGGTACCGGGGATTGAACTCGGGACCTTGTGCTTGAGAAGTAGGCAGCAGAACCACTGAGCTAAATCCCTGGCCCTCTGAGAAATATTATGTCATACACATAGATTTGTTCATGGACATAGCACATATACAGGTATGGTATGAGGCTCATCTTTTATCCAGAAGAGCCACAGAAGGCTGTGTTAGTATGAAACCAGTCATAAGACTTCGTTTGCCATTTTCTTTCTTTATAAATAATGTAAAATTTTTTGCTTAGAGTGTGTATACCAATTTGTGTTTTTTCCATTTAATACTAGAATATGAATTTATGATACAGACAAAGCCTTTTTTAAAATTAAATTTTGTTTTATTCTATTATTTACCACCTATTCTGATTGTGTGAACAGAGTTGTCAAATTCTTTTTAAAATGTAGAGCCCATATCTGGGAGTACCACTTCAAATTAAACTCATTTTATAATACACAGTATTGTTTGATGATAAATATTACTTGATTTGGTTATATTTTTTATATTTTATAATATGCTTTATATTTAAAGATTATTATTTTTGCCAAATACCTCTCAACTGTGCAGTCTATGAATGAAAGCAGAAATAAAAATTTGAATCTCTGAAAGGAAATTTTGTGCCATTATATTCAAATTTACCTTCAAATCTTTTAAAAATAAAATTTACAAAATTAGGTGTTGCACAGAAATATTATTATATTCTATTCTTGAATAGTAAGTTTAAATATTTTAAAATAAATATTTTAAATATTTTGAGAGTCTTTGAAAACAATTTAATCGTGATTATATATACTGTAGTACTCATAAGTACAATGCAATAAATGTAATTCTTTTATTTTCAGTTCAGTTGTACTACGTTTAAATTATTTATTGTTTCTATATTAACTATGATGCAACATGAATAAAGTCCTGTTGAAAGAGAAAAATGTTACTATGTTAGTGTTTATGTATTTTTAAGGAGACTTGTTCCTTGTTATTTTCTTTCAGCCCTCAGATACAGATACAGCCAAACCTACTTACACTTTCCTGCAGAAGCAAAGCAGTGGTTGCTACTCACTTTCTATTACATCAAATCCAGATGAAGAATGGCGAGAAGTCAAGCACACCGGACCTGTTCAGAAGTATGTTGTGTGTCATACTTTGTTTGTAATTGGTGGACAGATTAGCAGTTTTATTCACTCTGTGCTTTTAAGTAGTTTACCTTTTAAAATGTTTTAAGTTTTACTTTCATGCTCATGGTTAATACTAGAAATAAATTTTTGTTTGTTTTTTGATTTTTGAAATGGTTTTGCTAGATAGTTCAGGTTGACCTTGAACTCAGGCTGGTTTTGAACTCTGATCCTCCGGCCTCAGCCTCCCAAGTGCTCAGATTACAGGCATGTACCAATATTAGCACACGCCCCCCCACTGAAAACAGTAGATGTCACTTCATTGAACTTTATACCACTAAGACAAAACTGATAGCCAAAATTTCATGTTTACTGAGATAAAGTGTCTATTGAAAGTATTTGAATGTCAGTTTATGATTTTGAGGAGTATGCATTCCACATCTGAATATATGATAGGAAAAATAAATTTGCTTGCTATAATGGATTTTAAATTCAGTACTTTGGAGTTTCTTAGAAGTTTTTTTTTTTTTTTTTTTTTGTCTTTTCGGGGATCAGACTTAGGACCTTGTGCTTGCCAGGCAGGTTCTGTACCACTGAGCTAAATCCCCAGGCCTCTTAGAAGTTCTTTTTAAGAAGTCGCTTCTTTGTTCATGTTTCATCTTTTTATGTCTTCTCCTGATGGTGAGGCAAAAAAGAGTTTGTGCATTTGAGATCATTTCTATGCTTTTATGTGATTCCTTTTCTGTTGGGAGTGCCATGCTGTACACATGCCCCCCTTTTTAAATCTATTTTTTATAAAACCACCAAAGCATGATTTTTGGCAGACCTGAGCTATTTTTCTGGTTCCAGTTATAGACCAGCCCCTTTTCTTCCCCCTTCACTTTCCTTATCTCTACACCTGTAAATAACTGAGCTGCACTTCTTACTTGACAGTGCTTTTCTTCGCCTCAAAAAAAAAAAAAAAAAAAA